GTAAGCAGCATGTTAATGTTGTTAAAGCTGTGTGTGAATGCAAATAACAGTGTGTGTTGTCTTATAAACTGAGCATAGGTTTTGTGCAAACATAAAATGATGTTAATTTTGCATATTAAAGTATGCAATAACTGTCTCTGAAATGACGTCACCAAGAAAATAAAAATAACACAAATTAGTAGCCCACCTAAAAAATGTACATGTACTGTAAATGTTCAAATACTATCTTTCCACCATTGTAAGAGACAAACTACTATAATTTACAGGACATTAGGACAACATGTTTAATTATTGTGTGGAATGAAAATGATTGATGATTGATTTGCACTCTCAGCAGAGGGCAGTGAAGCCCTGCTGGCAGTGACACCTCACGAAAAGACTTGACAGGGGTGCCAGGTTTGCAGATTTTTCCATAGAGCAGTCTGAAACCTTATACCAACATACCATCTATTAAATTATGTAAAATCCTGTGACAAACATCTGAATATACTTGGGGAGCAATGCACTTTAGAAAATTGAAATGAATTGAAAATTTTAACCTGTGAAACACTGAATATATGTGAAATATGTGGGATATAGAAAACCTTGTATCACGAGGAAACTGAAAACAAACTATTATTTACAATAAAAATTTAAAAAAAAGTTTTGTATCAGAAGATGAGGGAGTTAAAAGCTTTATTACTTGGGTGGTGAGAACAAACTCTTATGTACAATGAAAATGTAAAGAATATTGTTTTGTATCGCAAGATGAGGGAGTTAAAACATTTTTAGGTGGTGAGTGCAAACTATTATATGCAATATTAATGTGAAGAAAAAATTGATTGCAATTTGAGGTTTACTCAAGTAGTGAAAACAGACTATTTTTACAATTACAATGTAAAGTCCATCCGTGAACTTTGTGCGCTGTTTCGGTAGTAAGATTAGATGGAGCTGATGGAGACAAACCTGGCAACCCCCGTTAGAAGGCTCGCTACATGTAGCAGGAGACGTAACCACTGAATGCGTTAGTTACGTAGCTAGCGTTGTTAGCAAATAACAGTCTTCTGTTGATACGTTGCTTGTAGACCCGGTGAGTTAAATCCGCGGATACCTACTTTGTCTTGGACACGGCTCTGCGTGACTGTTGTGTCTTTGTTGACAGCTGTCTTGTCTTTTCAGACTGTAGCCGACGTCATGCGGACAACATTAGCTTGTATTTTTCTGCGGCTAAAGTAGCTAACTGTAGCGCGTAAGCTAGCGTGCAAGAAGAACAGTCTGACTTGGAGGAAGGAAGGAAGCTGATAAGTTGGATCACTGCGCAGCGCTGCTTATGCAAAGGCAGCGCACTTTTTTCCTGGACTCCCGAGTTCGCAGTGTGACGCATGTAGAAAAGGTGACTGTCTGCTTACCCCGTGTGGCATTTAACACGGTTTGGTTCATTAGAAATCGCTGTTAGATGGCGTAGCTAGCTGTCAGCATCGGTCATCCCCGGCTAGCTGTACTGCGGGGAAGAGCTAACACGCTAGCCTCAAACTTCTCGGGAAGTTGTGCAAGTCAGGCCGAGCTATCTGACTGATATAATCGACTATCAAATCGGTGTTGTAGACGTGTCATTGACGGACTCTTTCCGCTCCGACCCGCTCCAGTCACAGGACAGATTCATGGCATCGGACGTGATTGAGAGTGAAGTCGTGCTAAAGGGGTTAGGTGATATGAATTTGAACAATAGCAGCCCAGACTGTGTCACACCCAGGACGACTCACGATGAGCTGGGAAACAAACTGGCCTCCAGTCCCTCATCCTCTGGGGTGTCTGGAGAAGGCAATGAGGAGGAATTGGAGGATTTACCAAATAGCACGGTGTCACCAGTCAAAAATGGCGAAGAGGCACTTCAAGAGAGTCCAACCCAAACAAGAGGTACGCCACAGGAAAGGACGACTCCAGACAATGAGCAGAAACAGCCTGGAGCAAGAAGCTCGACCCCAGTGAGCCTTCCCCAGCCACGTTCACCACCTGGACCCATCGGAAGGTCTGTATATGTGGACACTTTCTTTTTCTTTCATGCCTGTTGTGCGACGATCTCCTCGTTGCATAAATGCTGCTCGTCAACACTCCAGCATCTGATCCAAATGACTGTGTTCAAGTGTTTTCCAATGCACTGCATGTGAACGTTATTTGACATGTCACCGTCATCCATCCTCCAGCGTTATACAAGTGTTAATTGCTAGTAGTAGATATGCTGACCCCAAAAAGGAAGGACATATCCAAACCTTTCGGTATTTTCATGTCTCTAGACTGTCCAGAAGAGCAATAATATAGCGAGTTACGCTGAGGTTGGTATGGTATTGACGTCTTCATCTTAATGTGGGGGGCAGAAACAAATGTGTTCATTCGCCTATAATTTAGTCTGACGAATAACATGACTAATAGAATCATATTACACTATAATGCAATTTAGTAAAATATCACCACAGGCCAGGACATCAAAAATGAAAACTTTAGGAATCAAAGCTTTAGAAACGGTGTGTTTTTGGCTTATCAATTTACTGTGTGACATTTTATAGATGCGACTTTAATTGTGTCTCTATAGGTAAGCAACATCTGTGGATTGAGCAACTTCACATATACAGCATTTGGCTGATGATGACTTCTTGATCCTAATTAAACCAGAATTACCATAATTCAGACTTTCTTTAAAGAGGTTAGCATTATATATGTTACATGTGAAATATCTTGATGTCAGCATAATCTAAATCAATGATCTCAAATCACTGATCTGCATCTTTATTGAGGTCACCATTAAGTGCATTATTGTTTAAATTTTTTAAACTGACTTATTCCATCTCTAGTCTCTAATGTGGCTGAATCCACTTCCCATGCAGCAAGGTTCCCAGCACACTTTGAGTTCAAAGCTTTTCAGGAAACCACATTCCTATGGCACTCATAACTGACTCATTTGAGTTTGAGATATAATGTGGTGTTTAGCGCTATACATAAGCAAACAGCTAAATAGATGCCTTAAGAAATGTTAAGTAGCGAATGCCCAGAATGTTTTAGTGTCTGGGAGCACAAATAACAGGCATGTGTGTGCTTTATGCATCAAAGGGAGCTCTGTACAGCAAAGATAAAGATACCTCAATCAGCATTCGTAAGGAGCCTTATGGTTTATACCTAAGCTCTTAACACAAGCTTGTAAGCTTTTCAAGAAGCCATTGATCTGATTATGTGGCCAGCAGCGAGCCTTAACTCTCGAGGAGACAACGGGAAAAGGACTGCATTTATATTGCACGATAGTCTTAAACACTCGCAGTGCTTTACACTGTAGTTACTTCGGCTGTATATGATGCTGCTAATTTACTCATCCATTCACACTATACGATGGCACAGCCGACAGGTAAATTGAGCCTGACATCCCTGTTAGTGAATGGCCCCCTCTGAGCCACAGAAAGTCAGGATTAAGAATCATGTAGTGATTGGCACTGCATCTGCTCAGTACCTGGTGCCACGGTTGTTTTTTGGAGTACTGTTCAAGGTCCAGTGTGTAAGATTTAGGTGAAAGGGAACTATTGGCAGACATTTAATGTAGAATTATCTTCATGATGTTCTCACTAGTTTGTTTCATCTAAATTGTATGAATTGTAGTTTTCTTTACCCCAGAAAAGGCCCTTTATATTTAAATACTTTATATTTACATCGAGGGGACCCTCTCTAGGGAGGCCGCAGTGTTTTTTTTACATTAGTCCAGACTGAACAAACTAAACACCTTTTGAGTTTTTATGACAACTGAAGGCTACCACAGGTTCTCGGTCAAGTTTGGAAGGGGAGGTTAAGTGAGGGGTGTTCAGCTGCAACATGCAATTTGCATTTGCACTAGATATCACAAAGTTCTACACACTGAACCTTTAAGAACCACATGCTGCTTGGTATGTTGACACAAGCAAGGGTCCTTCCTGACTTCATGTAATTTTAAAAAACGGACAGGGTTGGCCACAGCAGAATGAAAAGCAGATACTATCCTTTATTTTACAGTAGGCATCTGACGTTTGCAATTTTAGGCCAAACTTTTTTTTTACATGTAAATGAGTTACACTTCAGGTAGAATTAAGACTGAGCATTTTTTAAAGTATATTATATTTATAACCTAATTTATGACCCAAAGCACCCCACTCTTATTTGCAGAGTATGTGCTTTTGTGCTGCTACAGGCAAGTGTGTCCATTATCTTTTTATATCCCATCATGTTCATGTTCATAACCAGTAACATCTTAAAGGTTTCTGTGGCAAAGAACAGAAATTGCATTTGACTCTTAGTAGATTAATAGGACTTCAGTGTTTTCCCCCATAATCCTTTTAGGATTGTACAAGTCACAAGCAAGTGCTGACAGATAACAGACTGTATAAAGATTTAGTTTGTTACAGATAATCTTTGCTTGCCCTGCTCTTGATCCTAATATATTTGTAGTACAAGAGAGGCTTTTAGTGAGTTTAGAAAGAAACCATTAAACATAAACATAACCTTTTTGTGCTTTCTTATCCAGTCTTGAGCGCCAAGAGTCAGTCGCCACAACAGAAGCCCGCTTACGCATGGAAGGAGTGGAACTTAAGGAAGAGTGGCAGGATGAGGACTTTCCACGGTATTATTTCAATCAGTAATAATGTTGTTCATTTTTTATAGCTCACGTTTCACAGCTTTTGTGTCGAATGTTTGTGTTTTAAAAATTCACAAGACGTAGACCTACTGATGACCTGATCACACCTCCTGTTTTATTATTAGTCCCCTACCAGAGGAAGAGGAGCTTGAAGATGAACTTTTTGCTGGGACATCTGAGGAGAGAGACCCGGGTATTGAAAACAGAATAGTATCTCTCTGTTACATACAAGTGTTGTTTTATAATAACCTGTATAACAAAGGTGACTATTACTGTCTTGGTATCTACCCTAGACTATGTAATGGACCATGGCAAGAAGCCAAAGAAAAAGCTTGCAGCTCCCAACATCAGCCTGACGTTTGACCGCAGTGAGGGATCGCTTCTCTCTGATGAGTTGGATGAAAGTACAGAGCTTGACCTTGATGACATTGACACACCCTCAGATAACAGCAATGAGTTTGAATGGGAAGGTAAAGACTTCTTTATATCATGTGGTGACAATGATCAAACAGTATTAGTACTTTTAGAGTAGACTAACCCTGCTTGTTCTAGTTTGTTTAGTTTATACAAAAAAATGTCAAACAGCAAAGTTAAAATTGACGTGATGGGGTAGGAACTGCAAAGAAACCTTTAATCGTTGGACCCATAGGTAAAGTCAAAGGCAATGTCTTATTAATTATTAATGAAAAGGAGTTTATTTATTGCCAAGTAATATAAATATGAGTATCTTTTTTATGTCCCAGTTCTCTGAGCTATTGGCATTTTCCTTCCTTGGTTGTACAGGTTTGGGTAGGCAGCTGTCTGCTTAAAGCACAGCTAAAATATTCTTTGTTGTTTTTTTGTGTTTCCACAATGCTGCCTTCCTCTTTTTCTCTTGGAAGAATTGTTTCCATTCTCTGCCTGGATACAGGCTGCAGGCCAGCAACAGGTTTCTCTTATCCTTGTGGTAAGGTCTCTTGGACAGCAAATGTTTTTTTCTCTGCCAGTCATAAGTCAATCAACCTCTATTGTCCAGATTATTTTCCGTCTTCAGTCATTCAAACAAATCACGTCTCATGTCGTACCTTCTCATTTGCACTCAGTGTTTTTGTGCATGTTATTTTTCCTTTTCTTTTCCTGAAATTTCCCTGCATTTGAGAAAATAATCAAGCAGTATCGACATATGGGTTAAATTGTGGTCATCAGATTGGCCTTTTTTATATTTGCTAATCTGTGCTGATTATTCGTCATTGTGTCACATTTTAAAAGGTATCGCACATCACAAGAAATGGCACAATAAATTAATACATTATCATCTAATAGAGCTATAACGATTCTTGAACCTGGTGTACCAGACATCCACGGTTTCGGTTCACGATATGTGAAGACAGCACGTGACAGACGCACGCTGCCACAGGTTCCTGAGTTGTTGGTTTATCAAGATCTGCGGTTGTATCTGTTTTTCGTTGTTTAACTGGATTGGACTGAACTATGTTGGGCTTGTGAGGGACACTGAAACAGACTTTGTAAATATACGGATTGAACTCTGGATGTTGGGACTATGGAAGATACACAGGCACACACACACCCACCCACACCTCTTTCCTTTTCTTTGGTTATTTTTGTTAAGGTAGTTTTATGTGAAGTCAAGTCTAACTCTTGTCTTTTCACCTTGGTGTTTTAATAAAACCAAGAAAATGTCCCCCCACTTTATCTTACGCATCCACTACAACCCCCCTCAAAAAAACCTGAGCTATGAACCGCACCATTGCTCAAAAACCGAGTTCCAAACTGAGCTGTGGATTTGAAGAATCGTTACAGCCCTATCATCTAATATAAAATTGTGCTTCATATTACATTTATCATTTTACCACTGAATCTTGCATTATATTATTTTACTGTTCAATTCAATGAAATTTTATCTGTATAGCACCAATTTATAGCATGCATTATCTCAAGGTACTTTACATAGACCTTAAAAATGATAAAGAAAGCCAACAGTTCCCGCAATGAGTAATCACTCAAGCACTGTGGGGAAAAAAACTCCCTGATGAATCGGAGGAAACCTCCAGCAGAACCAGACTTAATGTGGGCAGCCATCTACCTCGACCAGTTGGGATGACTGGTGGGAGTAACTATCATATTTAAGTTCTGTCAGACTGGTTGTTATACTGAAAATGATATGTGATATCTACAGAAGTAAAGATGTTATTAATGAAAGCAGAGAGAGAGAGAGAGAGACAAATTAGAATCCGATAAGTTACTTGAAAATGATTTAATAATTTTTTAAAAATTTAATTAGTACCTACTGGTAATGGTGATGACGTTACCAGTATGTCTGTCAACGCATCAATTTTTTCCCGTTTTTTAAAGCAGAACTTGAACGTCTCCTGATTACTCTTGTTATTTTCAGCTCAAATATATATACATTAACAAAGATTGTGATCTCAGACTTGTATGTTCACATACGTACGTGGAGTTCGCTCTACAGAAAAAAATACTGATCAATGTGTGTATTCAATATATTTAGGGAATGTGCCGCTCACTTAAGAGCTACATATAAGTGTGGTGGTGTGATTTGGATGTATTTTTCCCTTTTTCCTATCACTGCCTGTTGCATGCTTTACATACATGATCATTTGAACGTAAAAGTTTATGACTTCTACATCAGAAAAGCTGTATATCCCCAAAAAAGAGCAGCAAACTCTCAGGGAGAAATTGTGGTTCCTACAATTGCTCCAAGTAAAAGGCAGAAATATAAGCATATAAGATTAAAAATAAAATAAAAAATGAAATATATACAATATAATGTTAAATATATATATTTAGTGCAAATGGATATGCATAGTATAATAATATTAATAGAAGACTAAACTAAAATTAATTTAACCACAAAGGGTAGCAATAATTTAACCAAAATAAATGGAATTTGATGAAACCAAGCAACTCTCAGATCCAGTGGCTACATTATCCAAGCTGTGTGTTTAAAATGCGTCTTCTCCTTTAGATGATCTCCCAAAACCAAAAACCACAGAGCTGCTTCAGAAAGGTGTGGAGTCGGTTCAGGAGTTATCGGCCACGGAGGAAAGGGAGGAGGGTCGACGCTGGAGGGTGTTTCGTATCGGAGACCAGGAACACAGAGTGGACATGAAAGCCATTGAACCTTACAAGAGGGTTATCAGCCATGGAGGTCAGTGGCATATTATATACATATACATTAGCACAGTCACCTAAAAACAGCAATTTAAATGTACGTTTATTTCATTTAGGTCGATTATGAATTATTAAATCTGCTCTTCTTTTAATATTAAGCAAACCTTTTTTACAAAGATTTGATACTGAAAATTGTATTTTGGTACTGGAACATCAATTTTTAACATTTGATTTTCACTGCAGGTTACTATGGAGACGGTTTGAATGCCATAATTGTGTTTGCAGTCTGCTTTATGCCTGAGAGCAATCAACCAAATTACAGATACATCATGGACAATTTATTCAAGTGAGTGTTTATTTGAATTCCTCCTGCCTTGTGAGCAAACATTTTAGAGCCATCACTAATGGGATTTTCTTGTCTCAGGTATGTCATTGGCACACTGGAGCTATTGGTTGCTGAGAACTATATGATAGTGTATTTGAATGGGGCGACCTCTCGGAAAAAGATGCCAACTGTCGGCTGGCTCAGAAAGTGTTATCAGCAGATTGATAGAAGGTGAGTCATAAGCCGTTTTCAGAGATGAACTCAGGATAGTGTCTGCACAATTAGGTCTTGCCTTTCACATAAGAACAACATAGCGTTGTTGCGAATGCTGAAACTCATTCACAACAACACAGAAATCCCCGGAGCATTCAGCTGTGGGGTGGCGGAGAGGCAGGGCGTAACAGAATCATTCTTTTGAGTAGATCACGTGTTTTTATTCACGGTACATTGACACCGGCGTCGGCTCTTATCACCAAAAGCTCTCTTCGCAACTTCATTTAAGCCACAGCCAGTGTCCAGAGGCATTCTGTATTCGGGGTTGTCTGTCAATCTGTCTGTCCATCCCTTTCTCGTGAACTTGAGATCTCAAGAATGCCTTGATGGAATCTATGTTTGATACAAACATTTACTTGGACTTTGTGGTCAAGGTCCCACAAAGCAAATTTTTTGCTTATTTGGTTTTGGTAGCCAAAGGTCACGTCGGCCTCACAAATTATGCAAGTAAAATGTCCTCAAGTTCTGTACATACGCTCACATGGATTCAAAGATGAACTGATTCGATTTTGGTGCCTGGGAGGTCAAAGGTCAAGATCACATTGACCTCATGTTTCTGTGAATGTGATATATCAGTACTGCCCATAGGGAATTTCATTATATGACCTGATTGTTGGTCAATCCTTGGTTAATCCTCCAGCGAGCCCCTTGCTGTTTTCTCACATGAGCTAACATGGAAATTGTTCAGAGTTGTTACTTGGGGATGGCAGGAGAAACTCAGGAGACAGTCAGGAGCCAGTCAGGAGCCTATCCTTCTGGATGATTTTAGGAGATTTAGGAGAGTTCAGCACATATCTGGAAAGCAGCTTTAATGGTCACTGGTCTCAACACGAAAAGAAATGGGAACATTATGTTCATGCTGTGATTAAATTTTTACTTTTTGTACAGGTTAAGGAAGAACTTGAAGTCTTTGATAATTGTCCATCCATCTTGGTTTATTCGCACCCTGCTGGCACTCACAAAACCTTTCATAAGGTAACTGTATTATTTCAGAATGATTCAATCAAGATCTATATGTGTAACCTTGAGGCTATGTTCATGCTAAAATGTTTTCATTTTTAAGAAAACCGTCTTTATCCAGATGAGCAGTTTAGCTCCATAACAAAGATGATCTCCATCCTTACTCCTCCCACCTGACAACGCATATCACATGACCATTCACGCACACTGGTCATATGTGTACTGGTGTAAACAGGAAGCAGGTTGCCTACTCCAATTGGGCGCTTACAGGGCTTGTCAATAAAACATTATCAATAATGATTGCAATTGATTTTCATCAATATAACATTTAAATATTTATCACTATAATTCTTATGCATTGTGTAAGCAAATTGAGAAGGTATAACACATAATTGATCTACCTCAGATTTATAAAATGTGTATTATTTTGAATATAGTCTTAGATTATCACATTTTCTTCTTCTCTTCACAGCTCCAAATTTAGTCAGAAAATCAAGTATGTGTATAGCTTGACAGACCTCGCAGGGCTGGTTCCTATGGAGTATGTGTCCATACCAGATTGTATCAAGCAGTAAGTATGTTTTACTCTACCACATCCACATTTTCTAAGTTTCTCTTCGTGGAGATTTAATGTACATGGCAATTAACATGTATATATGATGAATGTGAGTTGAACTTGTTTGGGTGATACAGGAAAAATATATATACTCTCGCAAACTCAGGGTGGTTCTCGACTGAGCGGTACGTGTCCCTGATAGTATCATATGTGAATCTAGTGATTCAGACCATTGTGCAGTGCTCACATGAATTAGAAATTAAAATTAGTAAAATGACAAAAAAAGATAAATAACAGAACAGGACCACAAAAGGATAGGCTGCCTTCATCTCTGTCTACAAAGAGTTTTACTCTCCCTTCTGTAAATTTAATTCACCAAACCTGCAACAAGTAATGATCCCTCTAAATTCATCTGCCTCATCACTGCCATTTTTCCTTTAATTGCTTCGCAAATTCTAGTAGGCATTGTTCCTTATGTGGCCTACACCCCCATAAATCGAAGACCTCTAATAACAAATTTTCTTTTGTAAAATAATTTATTTAGAGTGATTTAAGCAATAATCTTTGCGAATATGCACAACTATTAAAATTACTGATGCTGTATTCTTCCTTTATGTGGCTTAACCCAAGGCAGGTTTTGTTTTCTCGTTGAAAATGACCTCAGCACAAATAAATCAAAAAAGATTTTATGCTCTTTTGGATGTTTGGTTGCTGTTGGCTGTGTATTTTCTCTTTTCCTTAATTCCATTTCCCTGCCCCCTCTTAAGGTTTGACGACGAAAAAAACAGGAATAGCCGTAAAAGGTATTTGCACTCTTACCCAGGATCAGTGTCAGTTTTTTTTCTTTTCTAGAGCTCGACCGATTTACTGGTTGGCCGATGTGAGCCCTGCTTTGCTGTCAGCATTTTTGTTTGCTGACATAAACAAATATGAAAAATTAGATTTTACAGAATAAACAATGCAGAAAGTAATTGCATTTCTATTTCTGTTTAATGTCAGGAAAATTCTGCTCTAAATCAAGTTTTATATGTTTTCTTTTTCTTGTTAACTAATTTATTTATTTTCAAGCCAATAATATTTGTATCGGCATCTGTCCCCTAAAATTCATATCGGTCGGGCTCTTTGTTTTTTTGGCATTTCACAAAACTAACTATTTTTTCCATTGACTTTTGGAAAAGCACCGAGACATCTCATTCTCTCCACTCTTTTGTATTAAATGATAACTTTTGGCCAAAATCCACCTTCCTCTAATTGTACAGTATTTTGTATTGTCCAGCATTTTATTCTGAGTAGACTTAGGGCAGTCCTAATCAACAGACTGAGTAGCTGTTTGATTGCTTTTTCCAAAAATAGGTGGCTCTGTGATTGTTTAACTCAACTATTGCTTTAGCAATATCAACTCCCCGAACAGCTGTTTGAATACTATTAAACCTTACTGTTATGCAGACCTGAGGTGGGTGATAAATTGAATTTCAATTATGATTATGCTTTTGACTATGCGATTATGAAAACAAAGTAATTTACATAAAACAATTATTATCCCGTGCTTTGTTTTGCAATGAGGCCCTCCCTCATTGCCTGTCATGCCCTATAACCCGGGACACACTGCCTGCGGGAGCAGCGCTTGGCTGCGCTGCGCTCTGCTGTGTGATGTTTCTGGTATTAGGACTGTATTTCCTTTAATAAAAATAGGGTTATCCACTCAACTAAATGTTAGGACAATACAGTGACCCACCACTACAAAATTGTTGCTGCCTCTGCTGCAGGATTGCGGCTGATGCACATTATAGGCATAGTATTCATGTATCGTGCTGTATTACCATGCCGCATGTCCTCACTCCCTCGCTGACCTGCACTTTCTTACGTTAACAATAAAAACCAACACTAATCACAGTACTTAAAGTTTACTTTGCTCTAGAGTTTATGAGACATGTATTTAAACATAATGGGGAAAAACGTCCCAACATTTTTGGCATGCAATTTAACTTCCTTCCACACAACTCGAGATGAGACGTGACGCACACAACCAGGACATCAGGAAAAAAGTGACCGGAATGATCCGGTTTCATGAGCCAACATCATCGATAAATAACTAAATACACGTGATTGTCAGTTTGTGTGAAGAGCAACGGAGACGAGTAGACACACACACACACACACACACACACACACACACACACACACACNTGTGTGTGGCAGGGGGCGTGGCTGGCTTATCGTTCTCTGCAGAAGACAAGGCACACATGCTCTTGCTCAACTCATCAACCTCCCAATGAAATTATAGTCTTGACTCTCCTGCTCAGTAATGCAGTACATGTATTTATTTTCTTTTTCAGTGAAACTTGTGTTCCCCGTGCAGAAATATTTATAGCGTAACCCTGATGTTTTTTAAAGAAAATAAAGACAGAACGGAAACTACAAAAATAATACTGGTAACAAAACTACAAAACTAAATGAAAAGTTCACCTGGTTGAAACACAAAAACTCAGCTCTGCCTTACGCAATGTCCCTTTAAGGGTTTGGCCCTTTGCTGTTTGCCTGAGTTGACTCTTCCCAGTCAGATCATCACACTTCTCTCTTGGGGACCTCGAGCCTCCTCCTTTATACTGGCTGGGTCTTACCAAAAATATCTTTTGATAATTAATAATCAATTGTCTCCCAGTGAGATTACACTTAGTACACATTACAATTATAACATTCTGTATTATATAATAATACACTCCAAACCACTTGTGGTGCAATATTATAAACTCAAAAAATAAATAAATGTATATATACAAACTCTACAAACAAATTCCACTGTGCACAGTCAACTGCTGTACACCAACTGTTTACAATACTGTTTGCACTGTTATACTCTTAATCCTGTTTTTATCTGCCATATTTATATTTATATTCCACTGATAATTCTGTTTATATTTATACCGTTCATTCTGTTCATCCCGCCATATCTGCCATATTCATACTCTCTATATCATCTAGATTTGCCACTGCCTGTTTATATCGTTTAATTACTTATTTTTTTAATATTTAATATTTCATGTTTAATGCTGTTTGCATCGGGGATTAGAGGGAAACGCTTTTTCAATTCTCTGTATGTCCTGCACATATGGCATTATTGATAATAAAGTTGACTTGCCTTGACTTGAATATTAGTTCTCCAAAAACTAACTCTTGCTTCAAGTTGCAACCACAATAAACCATTCTGAACCGGTTTGACCTAGGCTTGGTTTCCCTAAACAGATGCTTGCACTAACTGTTCTCTATCAACATTCCTGTGACTCTGTGTTGCAGGAAGCTCTGAATAAAATACACAAAGACATCTTAGTGATTCAGCCTCTTTAATTTTCAGGACTCAGGCAGGGTATTAAAAAAAATGTTCCAGCTAGGAGAAGTTTCAGGGTGAGGCAGCTACAACAGCTTAGAGAGAAGCTGGAAGAGAAAGAAAAGGAAAGTCAGACCCGGAAAGGAAAACATACATTTCAGGCAGATTGGCAGGCATATGGGATGTGGTAAGAAGAAGTGCAACGAAGGGACAGAAAACAAACACTGGCAGGGACAGAAAACTCCACACAAGTGTCTCAGTGTCTCAAACTTCAGTTGTTACGCCCGGCCCAGGAGAAACCTGAGCATAACATAAGTTGGCTCCCCTCTTTCCCCACTCCCAAGGATGACCAGTGCCACGGCAGATTTGCAGTCCAAAACAAAAGTGATTTATTTTATAAATCAGGCAGAAAAGGCACGAGGAAGAGCACAGCCAAAACAACAAGCAAAACATTTCAACTAACTTACCTATTTCAACCAAAAGTAAAGAAAATACAGGGATCTTACCCCTACAGCTACAGGGCTGCTCTTTTCAGAATATTATTCACAGACTTTTAAACAGAAGATAATCTAACAATATAGTGATCACAAAACAACTCAGATCAGAAGGATTACAACAAAGTCGACACGGTCGTGTTGGAGGAAATGCTGTGAGGAAACTAATTCGCATGGACTAAGGATCTCCCAGTATAGGTCATAAACCCTGCCTACTCCATGTCAGTTAATGGGACATGAACCCAAACTAAAAAGTCTGTGTCAAATGCCAATTTGTTGCAGTTAGCTTGGTTTTATTTGATGATATAAACATGGGGCAAACATAGATTGACATCTGAGAGTGACTTGTGTCAGTGGGATCTTGATACTGTGGGTCCACACTACGATCACTACTGCACAGAGTCTGACTCCAAATGATGTCAAAAGTGCAAGTTGACCACACCCATTTGTGAGATATTTTAGCTTAATCTAAGGAAGAAGTGGTGACATGTCTTTCACCTTTACGTATATAGTCTATGAACTTACACTATCCACAAAAAGGGACATTTTTAAGCCAAAAAGGTTTAATCTAATTCAAAAAAATAGATTACATTCCATAGTTTACAGGTCTGTACGAAAAATTACACTTGTTAGTATGAAAATTACCATTTGGTTTGCAGTGCGCTCTGCAGATAATGAAAACTGCATTTCTCTTGAAAGGTTTCAAGAGAAATGAGAATATCATAATAAAACAAANTTCAAAAGGTGACAACGGAGAGAAATTAATATATTTTTATGACTGCTCTGATTTTAAACTGCATTTTCGGTCTCTGACCCACTGAGTGGCATTTCATAGAAGCTTTGACGGCACCATTTTCACTGTTCACTGCTGATGTTATCTGATAAAATCCTGCCTGGGGAAAATAAAGTTTATTTTTTGCCCTTCACTTGAATGTGCCCTCTGACTTGTTGAGGGAGGAAGTTTGTGAGAGCAACAGACTAAAGCAAAGATGTAGGTCTTAACATTAGTTTACTCGTTGGCTCTGATCTTCATATGACTAAAATTATCCTGTTTACTCTCACCCATGTTATTGATTCACGTGATCACAATTTGAGATTTGATTTGTTAATCCTGGATTAGTTATAACTGCACTTTTATTTTGAAATAAAGGCAAAATGAGTATGGAGTTGAAACCTTGATCACTGTTCCTATATAATATAATTGGCAGATTGCAGTCACATGATTTAGATGAGTCTGGAACTCTTCCAGCATACAATAGGGACATAAGTTGCAAAAGACTTGGTAATTATTTGTTCCTGCATTTGTTAAAGGTGTAAATGTGTTCTACATTGTTTCCCGTAAGTGTTTCTGTTGTTTCAGCTCTGTGAAGCAGTGAATGTGGTTTGACTGGGTGTAATGTTGGTGCCTGATTGGTGGAGGTTCCTACTGGACATGTAAACAGTGATCATCAATGAAAAACTAAAATCTCTCAAGAAAAAGCTTTAATGCAAATTACTTGCAGGTTATTTGATATCAGCATTTAATTATAAATCTAAAGAGAGCAGGACACATTTCTGGACATGAATTCATGTTTTGATTGAATATATGAATATATGTTGGTCATGATCCAGCTGTCAGTACACTGGTGCACTGAAGGTGATTTGAGCTTAAAGACTTGTTGCTCTAATAACATTTATTTCAGACCAGCATCAAAGAACCAAAAGTCAAAGAGAACAGAGCCATTAAACCACATTGTTTTGTATTTTGATTCAAAATAGTTCCTTTTTTATTCAAATGGTGTTAACACGATGAAGTTAATCATACAGCAGCACCAAAGCAATACAGTGACCATTTCCTGAGTATGCGTGGCAGGATTTAAGTAAAAAAAAACACTGAACCCCATTTTTTAACAAAACTGTCAACTGGCAAAACAAGTTTATCGAATCAATCACACGGCTGGCAAAACTTTGAACACAGTTCATCTGGTTAGGCACACTTTGCAAATCTGAATCACCCATTTTGCAAAACTTTATAAACACATTTTCATTCACTAAACACAATGAGCAGTGTGGTGCACTTTGACCAAGGGTGTCACACACAGGGCCCAAAGGTTTAACTTAACAACTAACACAATTTTGTAATTGTGAACATACCACCAATCAAAATTGAACACGCGTGTCCAATCATGTTACTTTAGGATCATACAACACGTCATCAATGTTTCTGGATGGTCTACTGGATCTGGATGCTTTGCTCTGACATGAGCAGAGAGGTCATGAGCGTGCAGAGCTTCCTGTTTCTGTTGTCATTTGGGACATGTGCTTTCACTGTGGTCAAAGAATATGTGAATGGTAAATCAACTAACAGAGTTTTTTCAATGTTTGCCTTTCATCATACACCCCCCTTCCTAAACTCAATGGAACCATATTTCTCAGCCAGTAAAGTGTGTAACTAAAACTCCTATAAACAGGAAAATCTCTCCAAGGCTGGATTCGACAGGCGATTGCCTGTGACGTATAAAGTCCTGTGGTCTGACCCGGCCCAGAGGCTTGATGCTGAGGCAAAATGAATGATGCACATTGCTTATAGCAGTGCAGTGCAGGTTATTTTTTACTTTTGCTTGATATTTCTGATTACATAAAAGTTTTCATAGGTGCAGGAATGTGAACATATCCTACAGTAAATATTTCAAGTCATTTTTCAGTATTTTGTTTTTCCTGCTATGCTCAGAGTGCAGTTTTTTTGCATTTATTTATTTAGTGTGTAATGATTACTGAGTAGTGTTTATGCATTAGCTGGCTTTTTGTGTTATCTGATGTAAGTGTTTGGTCCTGGGTAAAGATTAAATCGTTTTGAATTTTTGCAAGACAAGACAAAGGTTTTGTGAGTGTAGCTTGAATTTTTGTGTTTGTGTTTACTGTACTGAGAAAACAAGAGGAAGTTCCAGGAAATGTGTTTTAGCAATTCAGAAAAAAACTGTAATGACACAATTACTTCAGGTAACATAGTTTCACTCAGAATCCTCTAGATGGTGCCACAAATGCACTGAAATCCTAAATAAAGGCATCAAAGAAGTTACACAAGAACCCTTGCTGTACACATTGTCTTTCACTAAACACAATGAGCAGTGTGGTGCACTTTGACCAAGTTGAAAATATATATTCATAAAGTTAACATCCCATCACAATAAGTAATATTTTGA